AAAACCAAGTAATAACTTTAACAGCCAGGCCATAAAACCTAACAATTTTAACGATATACTTGACAATTTTAACAATCGATGATATTGACAGCAAAGAGCAGGTGGATAATAGGTGTATAACAGTAAACTTAACATACAATCGATAAACCTATCAACTAAGTCAAAACTTCTACATTAAAGTGATAAACTTGACAACCAAGTAATAACCTTAACAACCAAGTCAAAACTTCAACATTTAAGTGATATACTTGACAAGCAAATAATAACCTTAACAACCAAGTCAAAACTTCAACATTAAAGTGATAAAATTGAAAACCAAGTAATAACCTTAGCAGCCAAGTCATAACCTTCTCACTTGTAATGATATACCTGACAACAAATTCATATACATGACAATAAAACGCTAAACTATATAGGCTCGTTACAGATTGCACGATTGTGACCCTCCATGTTGCATCGAGAGCACTTAACAGGTCGGGTGTTCAGCGACCTGTTGTTTATTCGTCTAGTGCATGGTCTGCCACGTCTTTTTTTGGTGAGAGGAGGCTTCAACACTCGCTCTTCTGGCGGTACAAAGCGCTTCTCGTAATCTGGGATGGGATAGATGATCGGTGCATAGCTTGCTCTGAATGCGTCAACAGTCATGTACCAATCGCAATATTGATAAATTTCTCGTCCCATCCATGAAATTGCAGCGCACGCATGTTTGCAGGGAATGCGAAGGATGTCCCAGGACCTACAAGAACAAGTCTGATTCTTCAAATCTACGCGACAAGTTTTATTGGACTCGACCTCCATAATATCTTCCGTCGAATGTTTAATCGCCAAGCAGCTACCATGCTGAATGTTATCACTCAGCACCAACTCCGCTTCCGGGCATAGGTATCCAGACCATTTCTGACCCAATAGCCTCCTTTCATGCATGCGCTCCATTATTTGCTTCCGTATGGTCTCAACCAAAGGTAAGATTCGCAACAATCGTGCCTTTCTTATCCAGCTGTTGAAGGACTCAGCAACGTTTGAAGTAACATGGCCATACCTTAACAACAAAGCACTAACAATAACAATAATTCCTTAAACTAAACATTAAAGGCCTAACCTTAACAACAAATATCCTAAACTTAACAGCAAAACCCTAGCAGAATAACTCTAACCATAACAATAAAAATCTAACCTTAACAGAAAACTGTAGGATAACTCTAACCTAAACAACTATAACAGTGCTGTAATAAAATAATGTTGGGACCAAGCTATCTTACCTTATACCAGGAAAATGCGCGTTTGCCCATCTCTCCGGGGAGTATTCCATTACAGTGACATAAGCCCTGTGATCGATCGCTGCCAATTCTTTCATGTCATTATCCCATTCAGATATTGTGAACTTATAAGCCGCAGATTGTAACAGCTCGCCCAACGTAGTCGCGATATTTGCCTTGTGCCCAAAATCCTTCATCTTTTTTTTGAAATTCTCGACTAGATGCAGAACACACCTTGAATGGAATGCATCTGGAAAGAATTCCTCGACTGCTGCCCTGATACCCCTGTCGGCGTCTGAAATCATTACCAGTCGATGTGGAGGTTGGTAAAGATTTTCCCTATCATACAGTAACGTCCATAATCCTTGTAAGAACCATTTCCAGTTAACCTCATTCTCTTGGTCGCATACGCAATAAGCTAGGGGAAATATTCCCTGGTTGCCGTCATACCCAGTAGCGCTAAGTAGTATGCCTCTGTAACGATCTTTAATAAATGTTCCATCCAAAAACAATAGAGGCCTACACCCAGCAATGAACCCTTCAATACAGGCATTATAACTAATGAACAGTCGCCTGAACCTCCCGTCATCAGCATCAATAACAACACGACTCCCTGGATTAGTTGCATGCACCATGGATTCATACCTGCATGAATATAACAACAAAGCAGTACATTTAGCGAAGGATTCATAACCATAACAAATGATCTTCAAACTTCACGACCAACACGTATACTTAACGACGAACCAATAACTTTAACAACTAATACGTATAGTTAGCAACCAACACGTACACTTAACGTCGAACCGCCAACTTTAACAACTACTACGTATAGTTAGCAACCAAAAGGTAAGAGTGATTTCAGAAGAATAAAAAAGATAAGGACCATCTCAGTGAATCGTAAGCCTCATCATCGTCACCGAACAGGTCCTGTTGAGCTGTCTCCTTGCTCCACCACGCTTTACTGTAGTTAATCTTGATGCCAAAATTAGAGAGCATGTCGTTCTTGATATCGACCGCACGAAGATCTGGCCTAACCTTCAAAACAGCTTGTATTTGGCTAGCAATGAACTTCCTTGATGCCCTTGAGAACAGTCGCCTGAACCTCCCGTCATCAGCATCAATAACAACACGACTCCCTGGATTAGTTGCATGCACCATGGATTCATACCTGCATGAATATAACAACAAAGCAGTACATTTAGCGAAGGATTCATAACCATAACAAATGATCTTCAAACTTCACGACCAACACGTATACTTAACGACGAACCAATAACTTTAACAACTAATACGTATAGTTAGCAACCAACACGTACACTTAACGTCGAACCGCCAACTTTAACAACTACTACGTATAGTTAGCAACCAAAACGTAAGAGTGATTTCAGAAGAATAAAAAAGATAAGGACCATCTCAGTGAATCGTAAGCCTCATCATCGTCACCGAACAGGTCCTGTTGAGCTGTCTCCTTGCTCCACCACGCTTTACTGTAGTTAATCTTGATGCCAAATTAGAGAGCATGTCGTTCTTGATATCGACCGCACGAAGATCTGGCCTAACCTTCAAAATAGCTTGTATTTGGCTAGCAATGAACTTCCTTGATGCCCTTGAGTTGCCAACATTTGCTCCATGTTGACCGCAGGTGTGGGTAGACTCGAAATTCTTTATGGACATGATAGACGAATTTCTGAGCGGGGAAGCAAACAACATCCAAGGGCAACCATGTGTGTGTTTGAATCGGCAATAGACTCTTATGCGTCTTTGTTCATTGTGGTAAAAATCATACTCGAACCGTTTAGCAATTGAATAGTATTGAAGTGCTAATCTAACTTCAGCAGCACTATCAAATTTCTGACCAACTTCACGTATGGAGGTGTGCCACTTACTTGGGATCTTTGTTTGGTGATTAAGCATGTCTTCCAGCAGCATGATCGAGTCGCCGGTGGGGTTGTCATTAGGAATACGCTCATCATTACAGGTTTGGGTGAACGGGGTATCTGCGCACCGCGAATTTTCTGTCGGTATTGTCCTGAAGTATAAATCAAAATACATAGCCTTAGCAACGAACTGATAACCTTAACAACGAACTCATAAACGTAACAACCTACACATATCCTTAACAACTAACCCTTATACTTAAGGGCAGACTCATGACCTTAACAACAAACGCATATACTTAACATCAAACACCTTATCTTAGGAACCAACCAGTATACGTAACAGCCAACAAATAACCTTAACAACCACTGCTCAACATAACCTTGACAACCAACACATTACCTAAGCAACCAATGCATGAGGTTAACAACTAATTGAAAAACCTATCAGTAAACTCAAAAGGAAATCTGGGGTGTAATTCCTACGCAGTATCCGGCGTAGTCTGCGTGTTCTGCGACGTTGAGGATTCCCCAGCGGAGGTAGCATACAAATTCGCGTCTGTAAATCCATTACGCCGACAATACTCGAACATCAAATTTAAGTCGTCGTCATTGTCAATTGAAATACTGAATTTCTTTTCCCTTTCGCATATGAACTTCAGTGAAAGAGATTGCATTGGTATTTTAAGCCTTTCCGCCACTCGATATTTCAAGCTGATTATTTCTGTATTCTCTTTGATAACGACGAATACACCGTCACCACCTTTGTTGCTTTTTGCCTTCGTTACCACGCATAGAAGAGATCCATCCGCCATTTTATTACAGGGAGTGGATGTTAAAAAAGTCTTGGGGGGGGGGGGGCAGAGCACGTTTTGGGTTGTTTTGGGGGCTGGAAGCAATTTTCCCAAATAATTACAGCAATAATAAACAAACTATTTATTAATTATCTTGTTCACTTACACACTGAATTTTCGGGTGTGTTTGGCGACTATATAAACAAACCACCTTTGATTGTTATTATCTTATATGCCCAAATTTCAACTAAATCAAATTGAACCGTCAGTGATCTAATTTTTACATGTAAAAAGAATAATCTCTAACTGGCCAAGATCCAACCTGAGCCATTTCTAAAGAGTTATCAAGCTGGCCTCATGCGTTCGTAATAGGTGCGAGTACGAACATCACATCCGTATTTCTTTAGAAGAAATTTTTAAAACAGCCCCAAATCAATTTTTTTTAAAAATCGGCTCTCTTATGTTTTTATCACAGAAACAGACTTGCTTACTGATCATGTCAGTACCGTGGCCAAAAAGTAAGTCTATTTTTTTAACACATTCCTAATTAGTCGGGGTTGTTAATCCCGACTAATTTGGACCTCAGTTGTAACTTGTAAATTAGTCGGGGTTGACAACCCCGAGTAATTAGAAAAATGTTTAAGAAAAATAGACTCACTTTCTAGTCACGGTGCTGACGTGACCAGAAGAAAGTGAGTCTGTTTTTGTAATAAAAACGAAAGAAGGTTTATTTTCAAAAAAAAAGTTAATTTGGGGCTATTTAGAAAATTTCTTCTATTCCTTTCCAGTACCACACTTTCGGGTTCGGATCCGCTTGAAAAAAATTTGTACCCAGTAAAAATCTTATTTACTCCAAACTCGCGTTCCTATTGGTCGGATGACGACGAAATTCCCATGGGAAAAAAAAGAATCTTCCAAGAAAGCTCCCGTCAATTCCTTCGAGCCCAAGAATTCCGCTAATCTAGTCCCTTCGCGCTTTAAATACCCGCTCTCAATCTCCTCAAAACCCTAATCTTTTATTTATTTTTTTCTTCCTTTTTTCCCCTTTTCTATTTCTATTGATCTTAGCTATGGAGGGCGCAGCAGCAGAATTCGATTATCAAAATCCAATCTTTAACGACGACGACATCGACCTCGACGCTATCTTGCAAGGAATCCCCCAAGATTTCACCCTCGATCTCGACCTCGATCAGTGGCTGTCGAATTTCCCTAAGGAACCGGAGAATCCCCCCTCTGTGGAGGAGATGGAGAAGTTTCTAATGGATGACGGCGATAAGGAGAAAGCTAGGGTTGAGTACGGTGATAATGTGGTGGAGGAGTTCTTCTCTGGTATTCTTGTTGATGGATCTGGATCTGGATCTGATGGTGGCCGGAGCGAGATGGCGACGCCGGAATCCG